CACACCATGAGAGAATTCCTAGTCCCAGGAATATAGAAACTGGGGAGGCCATTCAGCCCCCCGAGCCTATTCCACAATTCAATGAGATCATGGTTGCTCTGCATATACCCACCCTTCCCATATCTCTCATTATCTTCAGTGACCAAGAGTCTATCAATTTCAGTTTTCAAATGAACAACTGATGGAGCATCCATTGCCATTTGTGGAAGCGTGTTACAAATCTCTACGACTCTTGGTGCAGAAATGTTTGCTAATTTCATCCCATCCTGATGAAAGGTCAGCAGCCTGAAAAGTTAACAAGGTGTAGAGCTGGATGAACACAGCAGGTCAAGCAGCATCAGAGGAGCAGGAAGGCTGACGTTTCGGGCCTAGACCTGAAAAGTTAACTATTCCTCTCTCCCCTCATGGTTGTCAGATCTGCTGAGCATTTCCAACAGTTTCTGGCTTTAATTCATTCCTGAGAGGTCTGACTGTATCTTTTGGACTGGGCTCTTATTTCTCTGCCTGTCCTACTTCGACCAATTGATAGTGCCTGTCTTTTTCATTCACAAAAGTAACAGCTGACTAAGTGTGCCTTGCAGTTTCCATTTCGGTGCAGAGCCAGCAAATTCATCATGAATGAATCAAAGGTTCCAAGCCTGCATATGAGTCAAGAATTCCACACTTCTTCCCAATTTGGCCACCAGCTGTGCATTGAACAATACAAAATTGTTTTCAAATTAATGCCTCAGTGTTTTTTTTTCCCGCAAGCATGGCCACTTCCCAAATTCCTAGATGACTTTAGACAGTCTTTAGAGCCAGGTCACATGGAGTGATGCCAAGAAGCACTCTTTCACAGAAGGGGAACTCTCTCCTATGCAAAAAAGGTGTTACGGCTGAGGGTCAATTGAAAATACTAAGACCACGACAAACGGACTTTTGTTGGGTCAGGGAATTATGGGTTATGAATCAAGCCCAAGAAAGACCGATTTAAGGTACAGCCAATATTGAACTGAATGGTGTAGCAAGCTCGAGGGACTGAATGGCCTCCTCCAGTTCCCAAATTCCTTTCAATAGATCTCTCTCTTTGCCACCGCAGGTGGTATTTTACCAAATGACTTGTTGGTGGATTAGCCAGCGAGATCCCCAAGCTGTCTCTCTTCAGCTAAATGAAGTAACCCATCAGGCACTCAAGTGGGCAGCAGTGGCGGGGTGGGGTCCTTCCCTGGAATTAAGGACGTTGGAGCCAGAACTCCCACCAATGAAGACCTGCTGGTAACTCAAAGGACAGCATCTGTGCGCTCTGATGAATCTTCACCAACATTGAACATTGGGCTGAATCTTCCCAGCCACTGAGCGCAGTGGCATTTTGGCACAAAAGTTGGGAGAATCATGTGAGGTGGCCAGTGAGGTGATTCAAGATGTCAAGAGTGAAACTCTCCGACCAATTATTGAACAATGAGATGAGATTCCCGTGAGTGAGCAGTGCGAGGCCTGTTTGCATGCATCAGCTTGCATTAACATCCTCATTATCACGTCAACGCTCTTTATTGAGATGCAGCTTCCCATTTTCCCACCAGCTGCATAGAAACGAGATGGTGACAAAGTCAGAGGGTAACCTGGCAGCTCCACCTTGTCGCTTGCTCCGCTGGACCTTCATCTGAAACACCTGGCACCAACTCTCAGGGCATGCACAAAGGGCAGTACCCACCAGCATGCCCCATGCACCAGAACCCTATTGGCACAATGGACTGCCAGTTTCCCTCTGCTGCCGACATGTCTGGGGCAACTGGACAGGAACCGTGCAGGACAGTTGCAGACTTTCAGTACTGGACTGGGTTCTTAGCCAGGCTTCAAAGGTACTTCCCATGCCAGAAATCCCAGGAGGTTCCAGCAGTGGCCAGTACATCTACCTGTAGCAAGCAGGAGGAGAGTGAACTGGATTCCATTTAGTGTGCTGAGTAGAAAATGAGTTGAGTTTGGGAAGAAAGCATCAGAAAACTCACCAGGATTTGCAGAGAGAAACTCTTCACAACATTCGCTAAAGTTGACTCTTCGTCAGTTTCTGGTAAAGTTAATCTCTTTGTCTTTTCCTGTGTCTACTTTCGCACAGTTGCTGCCTCACATGCTCATTATCTCTGGCCTTTCTGTGGTTACATTGCTTAAGAAGATTGTCCTAGCTTTATGTCTTGGGTAAATTAGGACAGATGCAGGAGTACCAAGTTTCGAATGTTTTGTCCTGACAAGCACAGGACAGGAAGTATCAACAACACAATCACTCTCTTTTCAGCAAGATTCAAGTTCGGTACCACCAAGTGAACCCTTATCTTTTGTTCTTCCTCAACTTTCCGTACCAAGCAACGTGGGATAAAATGCTCTCATTTCCTGCAGCAGCTCAACTGAGCAATTCCCAATGAAAAAGCCATCGGCAAACATCTAATAACACCCCATTGTCTTAAAATGAGGAGAGCACTGCTCAGAATTCGAGAAACATAACGTGTAAATGGTGCTCAAACATTTTAGTTCAATTATCGTTTGCTGATTTAATTCTGCTTTTCTGATTTCTAAGCTTTAACTCCTTTAACTGAGCTCTTCTCCCCAAGTTAAATTGATCACCAATAAAGGCCTTGTTCTCTCATGTTGGAAATTAAACAGAATATTGGAGAGTTAATCAGTAGAACAATTTGTTGCAGGAACAAGGTAGGCCTTTTAAGTATCAACAACTTACATTTACATAGTGTCTTTAAGTCCTTAACTTGGAGCGTTACCACATCAAATTTTACACAAAGCCAATTAGCAGCATAGAATGGTTACAGTCAAACAGGAGGCCATTTGGTCTATCATGTCTGTGCTGGCTCTCTGGAAGAGCAACTCAATTGGTCACCCTCCCTCACCTTTTCCCTGGAGCCTTGCAAATCTTATCAACTTGGGTAATGATCTAATTCTCTTTTGGAATGAGTTAAACTGCCTCCACCGCACTCCCAGGCAGCATATTTCAGATCCTAACCACTGGCAGGATGAAATGGCTTTTTCTCATGTCGTCATTGCTTCTTTTTCCAATTAAATCTGTGTTCTCTGATTCCCAATCCTCCCATGAATGGGAACAGTTTCTCTCTTTCTACTCGTGTCCAGACCCTTTGTGATTTGAACACCTGTATAAAATCTCCTCTCCACTTTCTCTTCTCTGAGCAGACAGCCCCCACTTCTCAAATCTTATCCACATTATGAAATTTCTCATCTGGAACCATTCTTATGCATCTTTTCTATACCCTAATATTTTCACATCCTTCCTAAAGTTATGGTACCCAGAATTGGACATGATACTACAGATGAGGCTGACCTAATTTTATACAAGTTTAACTTAGCATCCCTGCTTTGTAATCTCTGCCCCTAGTGACAATTTCTGAATCTGCCCTGATACCTTCAGTGCTTTGCGAATGAACACTTCTGCCCATTCACTCTCTTGACAATATAAACTTATACTTTATATTGCCTCTCCTCATTTTTCCTAAATAAATCACTTCACATTTTTTGTGCATTAAATTTCACCTGTCAGTTTTATTGCCCATTCCACCAACCTTTCTGTAGCTCCTAATCCTTTGAAAATGTTGTACCATCTCCAAGTTTTTAAAATTTAACCATGTACAGCAAGATCCAGATCATTTATATCAAAAACAGCAGGGGGCTTAATACCAACCCACTGAAAAAAGAGACACATTATTTTTCTGCAGCACTCAAGTTTTACAAAGTGACTATAAATCTTCCTGCAGTGTGAGAAACATCTTGTCAAACAGCCAATTTTGCATCCATGCTGCTAAAGTGATCTGTAATTTTCCAGCAAAGCCTGTTATGTGGCACTGGATCCAATGCCTTTAGGAAATTCATGCACACCACATCAGCTGCATTACCCTCATTAACCGTCTTTGTTAACTCTTCAAAACAATCAGGCAAGTTTAATCACTGTGTTTCACCTTTAACAAATCTGTGCCGTCCTTTTTTAATTAGTCCACACTTATCCAAGTGACAGGTCATTATGTCTAAAAACAGATTGACCTTTAGCTGTTGGGCTTAATTTTATGGCATTTCTCCTGTACAAGGAAGTGTGTAACTTGAGAGACATCAACTGATGACTAAAAGCTTGATCAAAGAGGTGGGTGTTAAGGAGGGCCTTAAAAGGAAGAGTGTGAAGCAGAGGGATTGTGGGGTGGGTGGGGGTGAAATTCCAGGACGTAGGGCCCAGGCATTTGGAAGCATGACCACCATTGTTGATGTGATGGAAGCTGGAATTGCAAAAGTGCAGAAATCTTTGAAAGTTGTAGGGCTGGTGGAATTGACAGAGGTAGGGAGGAGGTGAACAGTAAACACAACAATCTTGATGAAAGGTTACCGTGCAACAAAATAAATCAATGCACATCGTTAGTGCAGTTTCAGCACCTCTTCTATTAGACATTTTCATTCAGTCATAAAAGTGCACAAGACAGAAAATTAAAGGTCCACTTTTAGTTGATGCTGCTTGTTGGGTTAAAGTGAATAATAAATTCTCCTCAAGTGTGCATCATAGAATGATGCAGCACAAAAAGAGGCCATTCCATCCATGTATCTGTACCCACTTTTAAAACTAGGGGACGCAATCTGAAAATACTCAGAATTGTGAACATTTGGAATTTTCTGCCACGGAGGGGAATGGAGGCTCACTCTTTGAGTACGTTTAAGGTACAGGTTGATTGATAAGATTTCTGATTACCTGTGGTATACAGGGTTATGGGGATGAGGTAAGTAAAAGGCATTGAAGTGTTTGTATTGAATGTGGGCTGAATGGCCTATTCTCATTCCTACATAATTCCTTTCCTTGCTGCTCTTTCCCCCATCGCTCTGTAAAGGTTTATCCATTCAAGAACTGAATTTTTTATTGCTTAGTCTCATTCGTGACATTCAACTCGCTCACAGGAATTATTGGGGTTTAACCCTCAAATCAGAGAGCTTGCACAGATTATGTTACTCAATACAGTTTCCACACGTACCTTCACAGGGTCCATTTTCAAATAAAATGTCGTCTATTGCAATGTCGCTGTGTCTTGACAGGCCACGAATCGCTTCAAAGACAATCTGAAAAAAGAAAAATATTGGTAAATACAACAGCATGTTTTTGTGACCTGGAATGCACTACCTAAAAGGATGGTAGAACCAGATTCACCAAGAAGGAACTGAAAGCGGACCAACCAGACATATCTGTTAACATTAGGAGATAAGAATTAGGAGCAGAGTAGGCAATTCAGCCCTTCAAGCCCACTCTGCCATTTAACATAATCGTGGTTGATCTTATCCTGGTCTCAATTCCACTCTCCTACCTGCTCCCCATAGCCCTTTATCCCACTTTTCATCAGAAACACATCTATTTCTTTCTTGAATCTGTTGATTAATTCTGCCTCCACTGCGCTCTGGGGCAAGGAGTTCCACAGATTCACAACCCTCTGAGAGATGTTGTTTCTCTCCATCTTACTCTGTATCTATGGCCTTTTGTTACAGACTGCCCCACACGGGGGAATACCTATTCAATGTTCACCTGATGAATCTCCTCTAGGTATTCATTTACCTCAATCAGATCCTCCTCATTCTTCTGAACTCTAGCGAGTACAAGCCCACATTATTCAACTGCTCCTCGTACAACAGACCTTTCATCCCTGCAATCAACCTTCTGAACCACCTCTGAACAGCCTCCTGTGCCACCATGTCATTCAAGTAAGGAGACCAAAACTGGACACAATACTCCAGATGTGGTCTCACCAATGCCTTATATAATTGTAACAACTACTTTTATAATCCAGCCCTTTTGCAATAAATGCCAGGATTCCATTTGCCTTTCTGATTGCATCTACATACCCACTTTCTGTGATTCATGCACAAAGACACACAGATCTCTCTGCACTGACACATTTTGAATCTGCTTCCTATTTAAATAATAATTTGCCTTTTTGTTTTTCTGGCCAAAATAACCTCGCATGTGTCCACATTAAACTCCATCTGCCAGATTCTGGTCCATTCTTCTAGCCTATCAATATCCATCTGTAAACTCTAACTCCTCATCACAGCCTGCTTTCCCACCTATTTTAGCTAAATCCGTGCATTTTGTTATGTCACGTTCTGTCCCCTCTTGCAGTTCATTCGTACAGATTCGTACTGAATCCTGCACCACCCCACTAGTTACAATTCACCACCCAGAGAAGGGCCCATTTATCTGGATCCTCTGCTTTCTGTTAGTCAGCCAATCTTCTATCCAAGCCAATACTCTAGCCTTAACCCCATGGATCTAACCTTCTGGATCAGTTTTCTATGAGGCATCTGGTCACATACCTTCTGGATATACCACGTCCACCGATCCCCATTATCCACCTTGCTGGTTACGTCCTCACAGAACTGCAGCAAGTTTGTCAAGCATGACCTGCCCTTCCTGAAACTGTGCGGACACTGGCGAATCAAGCTTTGTTTTTCCAGTGCTCAGTTATCTCCTACTTTATGATTGACTCCAGAAACTTCCCCAATTCAGAGATCAAACTACCTGGTCTACAGTGTCCCACTTTTTACCTATCTCCTTTTTTGTCACCTCCTTTAATACCCTAGGGTGCAGGCCAACTAACAAGATGAGATATCCTCTTCTTATCTCTCAGGAGTAGAATGGTCCCAGGGATGAAGAACTTCATGTATTTGGACTGGAGAAATTAGGACTATTTTACTTGGCAAAGAGAAGGCTAAGATAGACAGTCGCAGAGGAATTCCCTCCCTAAGTGCACTGTGGGTCTATCTACAGCACATGGACTGCAGCAGTTCAAGAAGGCAGCTCACCACCACCCTCTCAAGGGCAACTAGGGATCTGCAATAAATGCTACCCAGCTAGCAACGCCCATGTCCCTTGAATGAATTTTTTAAAAAAGTCAACATCATAAGGATTCTGGTCGAAGTAAATGGAGGGAAACCATTCCTGTTTGATCAAGAATGAGAAGGCAAAGATTAAAATAGTTATCAAAAGAAGCAAAAGTGACATGAGGAAAATCTTCTTCATGCAATAAGTGGTTAATTCTGGAATGCACTGACAGTGTGATGGAGGCAGGTTTACTTGAGGCTTTCAAAATGGATTTAGACTGTTATTTGTGAAGGAAGAATGTACAGGATTACAGGGAGAAGGCAGGAGAATGGTTTTACTCATTTCAGTTGCTCATTTGAAGAGCCAGTACAGACACAATGGGCTGAATGGCCTCCTGTTCTGTGACTCTAAAATGAATTTCAGACTCCCTACAACCTGTGGTTGTACAGCACAACAGTGCTTTAATTCTGCTTTAAATCAAAAATTATGATAATTTAGTTTGGTTTAATCAAAACAATTTGGCAACTCGCTAAAATTCAACAGAACGTTATTCATTCATCGTGTTACAAGATAACAAAAAGAAACACATAGTGAAAACAAATTAAAAGGGATCAAGTCTGTCTCCTTTACCTAGAGTGTAGATGGATATGATTAGTCTAAGGTAGCACTTTCTGTGCTACTAAGGTAGCACAACTGTGTCTAGGAATGTGGTGTTTTGTAATGTAATAGTCAATTCCTATATTGCAGAAAATGAAACAGGCCTTTTGTTCACAATTGGAAGCTGTAGAGTAAATTGTGGTGATTTTCAATTTAATTTTTTTTATTTGTTCATGGGATGTGGGAGTGATTGACTGGACCAGCATTTATTGCCCATCCCTAACTGCCCTTTAAAAGGTGCTGGTGAGCTGCCTTCTTGAACCAGTCCATCTGACATAGGTAGAACCACAATTTTGTTAGGGATGAAATTCCAGAATTTTGACTCAGTGATTGTGAAATAATGACGATAAACTTCCAAATCAGCACAGTGAGTGGCTTGGAAGGGAAGTTGCCAGTGGTGCTGTTCCCATGTATTTGCTGCCTTTGTCCTTCTAGATGGTAGTGGTTGTGTGTTTGGAAAGTGCCGTCTATGGATCCTTGGTGAGTTACTACTGTGGATCTTGTAGATGGCATGCATTGCTGCCATGGTGCATTGATGGTGGAGACACTGAATGTTGAAGGTGGTGATGTGGTGGCAATAAAGAGGGCTGCTTTGTCCTGGATGGTGTCAAGCTTCTCAATAGTTGGTGAAGCTACCCTCGTCCAGGCAAGTGAGAGTATTCCATCACACTTTTATTTGCACCCTATCAAAAGTGGGCCGGTTTTGAGGATCCAGGAGATGAGTTACTTGCCATAGAATTCCCAGCCTCTGACCTACTCTTGGAGCCACTGTATTTATACTGTGAGTCCAGTTTAGCTTATGGTCAATGGTAATTTTAGTGATGTACTTCATTCAATGTCTACATTATTGGCAAAGCCAGCATTTGTTGCCCATCCCTTATTTGCTTGGCCATTTCAGAGGCCAGTTAAGAGTAAATCACATTACTGTGGATCTGGAGTCATATGTATGCTGGAACGGGTAGGACTTCCTTCCCTTTACCAAGTAGGCTTTTATGACTGTTGTTGATTATTTCATGGTGATCATGCCTGGGACTAGCTTTCAATGACATGTTTTTAAAACTGAATTTAAATTCCACCAGCTGCCATCACGCAATTTGAACTTTGTCCCCAGAACAATACCTGGGTCTCTGGATTAATATGACAATACCATCAGGCTATCACCTACATCAGCAGTGTGACATTTCCTCATTTCCAAAATTCACCATCCTGTGCCCTCACTCTCACATCGTTGACTTTTTTTAAAATGTAAAACTAGGAATAATATTTTGTATCATAGACACATAATAATGAGGAATTGGTCAAAAGCAAAGTACTGCAGCTGCTGAAATCCGAAATAAAAACAGATAATGTTGGAAATACCCAGCAGCATTTGTGCAGAGGCTGACTGATTTAACATTTCAAGATAACCATCAATTCCACAAGGAGAAATAATGTAAACGCAATCTATGTTTCCTGGAGTTGAGAAGAATGAGCAATGATCTAATTGAACAGATAGAATTCTCATGGGGGTTCACAAGATCCTTAAAGTACTAAGAAAATGTTTCCCCTTGACTGGGGAATCTAGATTCTGGGCCACATATTCTCAGACTAAGAGGTTCAGCTATTTAGGACTGAGATGAGGAATTGATTCACTCAGTGTGTGGTGAATTTTTGCAATTCTAAGGAAGCTCAGTCATTGAATATATTCAAGACAACGGCCAATAGATTACTGAATGCTAAGGAAATTAAGGGACACACAAATAGGATGAGAAAGTGCAATTGAGGCAAAAGGTCAGCAATGGTCTTGTTGAATGTTGGAGTAGGTTTTGAAGGGCTGAATCACCTCTTTCAATCCTATTTCTTATCTTCTTAATGCTTTTTCTCATTCCACAGACTTCGCTGAGTATATCTCGTACTTTTCTTTTTAACCTCAGGTTCTGGTCAAACTAGTTTCACAGAAGAAATTCTCATTCAATTTGGATGGGATACAAAGCCAGATTCAAGGGTGAAAAGTTTTATACTCTTTTTTTTCCATTGGCTATTCCTAACCGAACAGATTTTTAAGGCAAACTAACCTGATGGGTTTCTTCACAGTTGTATTCTATGGAGGCCTTGAGCCAAGATACACTCTGTTCCCCTGTTCTTTTCCATAAGAGAGTTTCTTCAGCATTCTCCTTCCTCAAGTAAACATTTAATGATCCAGTTCCAAGTCCATACATATGGTAGAAGAATATCAGGCACTGGTCGCCTGTGAATCCTCGCAGTGGCCATGACAACAAGCGTGCATTGTATCCATGCCTTATATGAGAGGCCTCTACATACAAGTAGCGCCCTAAAGGAAAAGAATTAAATTCATTTAGAAAGCAGGCGTCACACACCAAAATAAATCTCTCTCAGTGAAAAATACATGACACCTACTGTCCTTTAGTTAATTTTAAAGATCAAGATGGTAAAAGAGATGATACAACACCAATACAGCCCTACCTCTCCCCATCTCTGTAATCTTTTCCAGTTCTACACTCCTTGGACATTTCTGCACTCCTCCAATTCCAGCCGGTCATGCATCCCTGATTTTAATCACTCTGCTACAGCTGGCTGTGTCTCCAGTTGCCTGGGTTCTAAGCTGTTGAATTACCTGTACCTCCCTAAACCTCATCTCCTCTGTACTCCTTGCTCCCAAACTCAGTTAAGATGCTCCTTGAATGAGGACTAAGCTTTCAGTGACTGAATATCTCCTTCTGTGGCTGGGTCTTAATTTCTCATTTAATAACTCTCCAGGACATTGGGAAGCTTCACGTAAAAGGGTGATATAAATAATATGTATACATATTGCACTACTGAAGAGGAAGGCATGTTGCCGAAGCTGTTCATCTTGGGGTGATAGTAAAATGAAAAGCTTCAGCAACACTTGAAATTTTTTTTATTTTACCAGCTATTGTACAATGAATTTTCAGTTGTAGACAAACACATATTCTACTCATTTTAAGATCTGTGCACAACTCTTACAGGTTTAATGATGGATTTCATCAGACTAGTGGCTGTGGAGAATTGAGGTGTTGTAGATGGGGTGCAGGATAGGTAACCTGGTTATTCTCTAAAGGAATATACACAAGAGGAATGAGGACGAGGGTAATGATCAGGCCTGAGATGTGAAAGCCCACTCAGTAGAACAGCCTAAAAATATTACTCATACGTGATTGATTTGGATCATTTGGATGATGGATTATGTACAAGAGGGAGGGTGGAATCATCTCTCAGTACTAATTGGAGCATTGTGGTGTGTCTGCCTGAGGTTAGATAGTTCAACTTGCCTTTTTCCAAATGACACCCTTGCAGAACACTGTAATTTAAGTCCTTACAGCTGGAGAAGCACATACTTGATTGATTTCATCAAACTTTGTTTTGGCTTCATGTTTGCAACTATTCCCACTGAGCAGTGACCAGCTTTCCTTCAACATTAGTCATTTCTGCTAATTAGAGTTTCTCTGCATCAACACACCAACAACATGTCTTTATAGAGCACTTTTAATGTAGTTAACTATCCCAAAGTGGCTCACAGGAACTACCAGGGACAAAAATAATTTGACACAAAACCACAGGTGACTAAAAGTTTGGACATAACGGCAGTGAATTTAAGGAAATGGGAGAAGTGAAGAGGTTTAGGGAGGTAACTGTAGAGCTTAGGTCCTTAGAAGTTGGAGGCATGGCTGCCAATAACAAAGTGATTAAAATCAGGGATACTCAAGAGATCAAATTCAGAGACTTAATTTCTGTCAATTTATCTTTGTAAACAAGGTTTGTGAGAGATGACTCGCACTCAGAAGTGAGGATGATCATCGATGATTGCACAATGTTCAACACCATTCGTGACTCCTCAGGTACCGAAGCAGTCCATGTCCAAATGCAACAAGATCTGGACAATATCCAGGCTTGGGCTAACAAGTGGCCAGTGACATTCGTGCCACACAAATACCAGGCTATGACCATCACCAATAAGAGACAATCTAACCACTGCCCCTTGACATTCGATGGCGTTACCATCACTGAATCTCCCACAATCAACATCCTGGGGATTATCATTGAAACTCAACTGGACTCAGCACATAAACACAGTGGCTACAAGACCATGTCCAAGGCTAGGAGTACTGCAGTGAGGAATACACCTCCTGACTTCTCAAAGTCTGTCCACCATCTACAAGGCACAAATCAGGAGTGTGATGGAATACTCCCCACTTGCCTGAATGGGTGCAGCCCCAACAACACTCAAGGAGCTTGACACCATCCAGGACAAAGTAGTCTGCTTGACTGGCACTGCATCCACTCCCTCCATTTCCAACGCTCAGTAACAGCAGTGTATACTATTTACAAGATGCACTGCAGAAATTCACCACAGATCCTCAGACAGCACCTTCCAAACCCACGACCACTTCCATCTAGAAGGACAAGACCAGCAGATGTATGGGAGCACCACCACCTCCAAATTCCCCTCCATGCCACTCACTATCCTGACTGGGAAATATGCTAACCTGCCTTGACTGTCGCTGGATCAAAATCCTGGAATTCTCTCCCTAGTGGCATTATGGGTCAACCTTCAGCAGGTGGACTGACGTGGTTCAAGAGAGCAGCTCACCACCACCTTCTCAAGGTTAACTAGGGATGGGCAATAAATGCTGGCCAGCCAGCGATGCCCATGTCCCAGAAATGAATAAAGAAAAAAACCTTTAATTAAGGAGATGGTGGCAATAGTACAATGTCATTACCCAAGTATCTTGAGGCCACACTAACACCGTGGGAACCGGTGAAATTTATATTCAATTAATAAATTCTGGAATTGAAAACTAGTTTCAGATCATGAAGCTGTTATCAACTGTCATAAAAACAAAATGTTCATTAATTGCCTTTAAAGAAGGAAATCTGCTCTCCTCACTTAGCCTGGCCAATACAAACATAGAAATTAGGAGCAGGAGTAGGCCACTTGGCTCTTTAAGCCTTCTCCAACATTCAATAAGATCATGGCTGATCTGGTTTTGAACTCAACTCCCTGTTCTACCTATCCCCAATAACCTTTCACTCAAAAAGCTAATTGTTTCTCTCTCCACATTATGCTGCCAGACCTGCACTTTGTTTCTCTTTCAGATTTCCAGCATCTGCAGTGTTTCGCTTTTAATGATATATTTCTACATCTTGGTTTCTTGAAGTTAGGCTGCCTCTCTCTATTGTATTACTGTAACCTTTATTCAACAAAGCCATCTTTTAACCTTTTTCTAGCTCCCCAAGTACCACACAGTCTTCAATATTCAAATTCCAGTTGCTGTCATCCTGTAACCCTGTCACTGTAATGGCAATTAGATCATACTTGTTTATTTTTGCACTATCAGTTCATGTTTTGTTTAAAATGCTACTTGCATTCAGATATGGAGCCTTAAGTCTTGCCCTATTATTTTTATAACCTCTGGTCTTAACTGATGATTTGCTCTTAGATCTGTATTTTCCATCCTTCCTGTCCTGGTCTGTTTATCATTTCTCTCATAATTATTTTTGTTCATTCATGGAATGAGGGCATTGCTGGCTAGGCAGCATTTATTGCCCATCCCTAATTGCCCAGAAGGCACTAATAAGTCAATCACATTGCTGTGGGTCTGGAGTCACATATAGGCCAGACCAGGTAAGGATGGCAGTTTCCTTCCCCCTAGGACATTAGCGAATCAGATGGGTTTATCCAACAATCAACAATGGATTCATGGTCATCATTAGACTCTTAATTCCAGATATTTATTGAATTCAAATTCCACCATCTGCCGTGGCAGGATTCGAACCCAGGTCTCCAGGACATTACGTTGGTCACTAGATTAACTGTCCAGTGATAATACCACTAGGCCATTGTCTCCCCATTAATATCTTCCTCTCTTGCCTTTTCTCTACTCTGAATTACCATATCTTCCTGAATTTGATCCCTTGCCTCGCTATTTATTTTAAAACCCTTGCAAGGTATCCAGTTATGTGCCTGTCAAGAACAATGGTCCTAGCTGTATTCAGGTGCAGACCATCCCAACGGCAGTGCCCCACTTTCAACAGTACTGGGTACCAGTATCCCCAGAACTGTAACCCACTTCTGTAATTCCAGTCTTTCAGCCAGTGAATCATCTCTCTAATCTGATTTGCCCTACGTCAAATTGCACATGGGTCTGGTAATAATGCAGAGATTGTGACCTTTGAAGTTCTCCTTCTTAATGTGATGCCTACCTTTTCATAACATCTATGCAGAACCTCCTTTCTTGACCTACCCATTTCATTGATACATATAAGAGCCACAAAAGCTGAATCCGATCCCTTGTCCTGTAAGTTCCTCTGTAGCTCTGAGTAGATTTCCCGAACCCTAGCACCCAGCAGGTAACGTAGCCACCTGAGCTTGTGCTCTTTGCTGCAGAGAACAATATGACTCCAGACCCTCAGCACTATGGTTAACTCTTAACTGCCCTCTAAAATGACTTAATAAGCCACGCAGTTGAAGGCTAATTAGGGATGAGCAACAAATGCTAGCTTTGCCATCCTATTAAAGAATCTACAAAAATAAAATAACCGTCATCCCTTTTGATAAGGTAACTTTTACCTATTCAGTGATTTATAAGATTAAGATCCTGGAACAGAGGTAGACCAAGTGTGTAATTCTAACCTTACATTGCTCTTGCTTGAAGGTGGATAAACACACTAGCACATTTATGATAACACTGCGACAGGAATATGAACTACGTTCCTCTGGGCAGCCTCGGGGATGTCTCAAAATGAAAGTCTCTCTGTGTGAAACACAGCAGCGCACAGCAAGCTCCCACGAACATTAGTACATGATCATCTATTTTAATGATAGGGTAACTACTGGCCAGGAGCCAGGGAAAACTTCCCCACTCTTGTTTGAAATTAGGATCTTTTTCATCCACCTAAGAGACCAGAGGTTTAATATCTCATCTGAAATATGGCACCTTGGCGCACAGCTCCCTCAGGACTGCACAGGGAGTGCCAGGCTGCAGTTTGTACTCCAGACTCTGCAGTGGGACTTCAAAACCCTCAAACCACCTGACTTAAAGAGTCAATTCTAAAGGCCAGAGAGAAAAGGCAAAAGACATAGGAGATGGGAGAACAAGTAAACGTAATATCATTCTCAGCAGTGGTTAATAAACAAAATTTGACATTGAGCCATGTATGGAAATACTAGAACAAGTGACCAAATGCCAGGCTGGAGATAGAGATTTCAAGGGGTGTCTCCTGACTAGTAGACAACTTGTTTTGCCCAAAATAAGAGCAGAAAATTGATGACACAGTGAGAATCGGAGCAAAGAAAAGGGGAGAAGACACAGAAAGAGACACAAGAGAAAAATCAAAAGTAAAATACTACAGATGCCAGAAATCTGAAGTAAAAACACTAAGTGCGGTTTATACTCAGTAGGTCTGGCAGCAACTATTGAGAGAAACTGCTCATGTTTCCAGTTGGATATTACTCTCAAATTCTGAAGAAGAATGATTTTTAACTTGAGATGTCAACTTCTTTTCTCTCTCCACGTATGCTGCCAGACCAGCTGAGGAAAATGATCAAGATAGCTTTATGAGCTATCTGTCTTATACTTCAGATTTCCAGCAATCAAACTATTTTGCCTCTTGAGTAAGTGACGTTTCTCTTTCTCTCCCTGAATGGAAGCAACAAGTGCAAATATGGCACTTGATACAGGAGCACAAATACCCCCACATACACTGTTGCAAAGCTCTCTTTAGTTAGACTTTCAACAAATCAGACCAGCAGTGCTTTACTTCAAAATGCAGCTCATAAATGCCAGCTTCATATCAAAATATTTGCAGTGAATACAAGCAAAATCTGTATAACTGTAATGCAACTATGGAAACCACCTCAAAGCTGGAAGTCCAAACCCTCCCTAAAATAGGCTTATAAGGCAAAGCTGCATTTCACAATGGTTGTGTCACATGCAATGCTGCACCTTAGTGTTACTTGTTTGGGACTTGAAAATCCAAAAGACATGAGTTCAAATCTTATGATGGCAGTTTTTGAAATTTAAAACCAACAGGTCCAGCAATTAGCAGTCAAAATAAGGAAATTATTGTTAACCATTAACCGACAGTGATACCCTGTGAGGAAAACTTTCCAGCAATTCTCTACACTTAATATGGTACAATATTGGTAATGTTAATAAACCAGTAAAACAGAACTAATACTCTTGGGTTACAATCCCATGAAAACTGATGGAATTCAAAGTCAGTTAATAAAATGTGGAATTGAAAACTAATCTCAATAATGGTGACCAGGACAACTATTATCATAAAACCTATCTGTTTCACTAATGTGGAAACAGAAAGAAATCCATCATCTTTACCTGGTCTGATCTACACATGACCAACATGTTGTCAATGTGGTTGACTCTTAACTGCCCTCTGAAATGACCAAGCAAGCCACTCAGTTCAAGGGCAATTCTGGATAGCTAACAAATGCTGGCATTGACAACCATGCCCAAATCTCGCAAAAGAACAAATTGCTTTTGCTTGATTCTTAGATCTGAATTTTATCAATTGGGCAGAGGTCTTGACCAACATTCCCTCTAAGCTGTGCGGCTGTTCTGAATGGCTGTGCACTCTAATCAATGTATCAATACATTAGCTTCCAGTTTCTCTAGCCACTACCGGGCACAAGAGCTTGGAGGTCCATGCAACGATGGCACAAATTAGAACAAACACAGGTCCTGACATGAGCAGCCAGTGCATGTTGCTGGCATGCACAAGTGGTTCCTGTGAACTGTATGAGCAACCCTTAGTGTCTTGTGAGGTGGCCAAACAACCATCGCAGAATGGGAAACCCTGCAAAATCCTTCTCATTGACCTGGAGGCACTGTGTCAGATGAGTGGTTTTTTTGTTGAGGTTCATTCCCAGCAGCTCTGACACGCAGGACTCTGTTCTACAGGCTGTTCCCCGAGACGCACACTGAGACAAACATCGACTGCAGCTGGACGACCATCAACTCTTTGGTCTGCCCGAAACATGTTGATCTTCCATGGTAAAGAGTTGACCTCGACCAAGTGTTGCAGACTGGCACATTCCAAGGTCCAGGGCTACGTGCTGAAGGAAGCATTGCAGTGTGCGGCAGTGACCACCAAGACACAGTGGAGAAAGACTGCTGTCTAAGGTCTTTCTGACAAAGTTTAACAAAAGGCCCATTTAGTTCTCAGACCCTCTCAGTGCCTCAAAATGAACACAAATAGTTTCCTGCATAATTAGAAAATGCTTTTTTTTCGCAACTGTAGAGAACCTCCAAAAACTCCAATGCTTTGTTTTTTTTCTCTGCAAAGATGTACAGAACTGATTTAGAACATTTGTGTGTACTCATTGATTATTTTTATGAATAATGTATATATTCGAAATTAAAAGCAAGCAACAAACAAACTTGTATTTGAGTAGCCTCCTTAACATTGTAAAACATCCCAGAATGTTTCACCTTAGTGATTATCAAACAAAATTTGATCTTGAGGCACAAATGGAAATTTTTGGAACAAATGACCAAGCCATTGTTCAAAGAGGTAGTTTTTATCATTTTCCCAAAACAAGTGAGAGATGCATCAAGTCTGAGGGAGGGAATTCCAGATGTCAGGATCTCAGCAGGCGAAGGCACGGCCATCAATGGAGTAGTGATTAAAGTCGGGAATGTAAAAGGGGCATAATCCAGAGATGTACAGTGATCTCAAAGGGTTGGTGGGGCTGGAGGAGACTACAGAGGTAGGGAGTTGGGGGATAGTCTTGGAGGTGCTTGAATGATGACAAAAATTTTCAAAATTGAGGCATTGCTGGACTGAAAACCAATGTGGGCCAGGCCAGGTGTGAACATGTCCTGATGTGCGTTAGGAAATGGGCAGCAGAAGCAATAACATTGCAAACGACAAGCGTTCACTACTTAGAAAGTTAAGAATTGCAACAATATCCAAGACAATAACTGGATGTCAGCCTTACTTTCCCTACCAGAATTTTGGCCACTTATTAAACAAGGGAAGACTCATAGCTTTATCATTCTGCACTGGCCGATGCTAAACAGAAGATAGAGACAAGATATTGCAGCTAAGAATGGTTACTGAAATACAACTCACCTACCCCTGTCGTGTGATCCCCCTTTGGACCCGTGAAGGATGTTGGTGTTGTACCAGCTCTTCTGTACCAGTTGCCTTTGTCCTTATGATCCTGAATGAATCCACAATAATCCGTATCAAAATTGCACCACCCTGGAGCAGGTAGCCAGGAACCTATACAGAGTGGGGGTAAAAAAGCTCATCGAACTGTCAAGATTTCAGATATAAGGTTAGATTGAGTATAGAGCAGCAAGACATCTAACCCTGGGTCCTTGAAGTCTGTCACTGGCCTGTCAAGTGCCAAATTGGGACAAGATACCAAAAGCCTTCCCAAAAAAAGGTGAGGCAGGGCTCTCACCAGCTCACTCAGTGACTTCCCCACACCTCCACACGATTCAGCCTCATATTTGCCTTTCCCCATATCCCCCAAAAGCCTAGGTTAACAAAATATCTATCAGTCTCTCAAATTTAAAATGAACCATTGGCTCAAAAGAGCACCTACTTAACAGAGGCAAGTTCCAAATTTCTGCCATTGCTTTTATGTGGAAAAATGACTCCTCATTTTACTCCTGAAATACTTGGCTCAGCCCCTACTCCTAAGTTCCTCACTCAGTCAGATGCAAACAGCTCTGCACAGTTAAGCATTTAGCTTAGAATGACCAGGTGATTAATGGATCCTTCATTGTTATCTAAATGTGATATTATGGGTATCATATCATCAGAGGATTGTATTTTGTTGTCTTAACCATGGTAACAGAGTTGGCATTTTAATGTTCACTATTGTAACAGATGGCACAAATAAACATTGATGTTTTTTTTGTCATGAATCCCCATTTGTACCTCCAGGAATTCGACAGTCTCCTTGGCTCACTGTGACATCATCCAGTGCTACTTTTCCACAGTTCCAGAAATTCTTACAGACACTGACAAAAACTATCTGGGAAATAAATAGAAGAAAATTATTTGTTCAATTATTTCAGTAGCATTTACAAACTTTGTTCTGTTGGAAAAAGATTTCTCCATTTATGAACAATCGATCTTTACAACTAATGACTCCACAAATCTTTGCAATTCAGGTCTGTAAGTGAGATATAAAATTGTTTGACTGCAGGCAAGGGAGAACATGATTGTAACAGAATCTTATTTTAATCATTATCAGAGTCCAGGACGGACTGTGTACCAACTTATTACAAATTGTATTAGATCACAGAAACAGGAAGTAGCCACTCCGTGCTTTCAGTTAGATCATGGTGATCTGTACCTTAACTAAACTTACCATTGGTTCCATAAACTTTGCAGAACAAAAATCTATCCATTTTGAAAATTTCAATCGATCCTGTGCGTCAGAATGTGAATTAGTACTTCTGGCATCAGCCTTGAAGAGCCCAACTCTAATTTTAAGGTTCTGCACCCATATTCTAGACTCCCCTCACCAAAGGAAATAGCTTATCTTCAGCTACACCATCAAAACATTTAAACCTCTTAAATATCACTGAAAATTAGACCTCATATTCCATAATCTTCTAAATTCAGCAGATCATCACGTGAGATTCACCCAAAGGGACAGTGGCAAGAAAAGTCTTGCATTTGTATAGAACTTTTCACAACCCCAAGATGTTCCAACCTCCCTCACAGCAATCAACCACTTTTGAAGTGTAGTCAATTTCACACAGCAAACTCTCAGAAATATCAAATAATTAACAGACTAGATCATTTTAAGTAATGTTCATTAATGAATAAATATTGAATAGAATCACACCCTGCTCATCTTCAAATAGTTCATAGTTTAGGGGGAGGTATTGGCCTAGTGGTATTATCGCTAGATTATTAATCCAGAAACTCAGGTAATGTTCTGGAGATCTGGGTTCAAATCCCACCACAGCAGATGGTGAAGTTTGAATTCAAAAATAATTTGGAATTAAGAACCTACCAATGACCATGAAATCATTGTCAATGGTTGGAAAAACCCATCTGGTTTCCTAATGTACTCCATCCTCACCTGGTCTGACCTACATGTGACTCCATTGCCACAGCAATGTGGTTGACTCTCAAATGCCCTTTGAAACGGCCTAGATAGCCACTTAGTTCAAAGGCAACTAAGGACAGGCAATAAATACTGGCTAGCCAGTTATGCCCACATCCCACAAGTGAATTTAAAAAATGGTTTACATCCCCTTATAAGGGCAGACATGACCTTAATTTAGCATCTCATCTGAAAGACAAAAGCTCCAATATTGCCGTACTAATCCTTAGTTCAGACAGTAGTATTTTCACCTTAGAGTCAGGAGGTTACCAATTCAAGACCCAGTCTACAGAACTGCACATAACACCCTGGCTGACAGTTCCAGTGCACTGTTCAAAGGTATTGCCTTTTGCATGAGAGGTTAAACCCCCAAACCTCATTGACTCACACAGGGGCTGTAAAAGATTTCATGGCTGCTCTTTTAAAGAAGAAGGTGAGAGTTTTCTCTGGTGTTCTAGCAAACATTTACCCCTCACCCAGATCACAAAAACAAATTATCTGCTTATTATCAAATTGCTAATCGTGCTTCACTGGCTGTAAAGTGCTCTGGATTATTCTGATAAGTGGGACATGAAAGCAATTTCTTTTAATTAAGCTGCATTGGAGTATCTGACTGGATCACGTACACGCGAGAATTGAGTGGGATTGAAGCCACCACTTCTCCGACTTGCAAATAATCATTCAGCCAATGTTCACACGCAACACCATGTAGTGTAATGCTGAACCTCCAAACAAGAAAGTTTGGTCTGCACTGTTGGCCAGTGTAAGCAGGGATGGTTGTTGTGCGATTACATTGATTCTGAGAAAAGGAAGGGAATTATCGGTGCTAACACAGTGTGGAGCTGGATGAACACAGCAGGCCAGGCAGCAGCAGGAAAGTTAACGTTTCGGGTCGGGACCCTTCTTCAGAAATTCCCCATTTCTGAAGCATCCGAAACATCCGCTTTCCTGCTCCTCTGATGCTGCCTGGCCTGTTGTGTTCCTCCAGTTCCACACTGTGTTATCTCTGTCTCCAGTATCTGCAGTTCTTACTATCTCTGAATTATCAGTGCTTTTTTGTGTCACCATTGACCCATGACCCCTACTGAAAAAGTGCATCTGTGTCAACTGAAGACAAGAGCAGAATTGATTGTGATAATCTCATCAGTCACAATATACTCAGGGGCCAATATTAATCTAACTCACTGATGTGCATCTGGTTCCTTGTATATTTTGTGTATCTGATTTACCTCAGAACAATGCTGGGATGAACCTAGTTTTTAAACGTGCAATTTCAAATATCTATGAAATCACAAAATGTCTGCACTCGTGCTTATCTCAAATCAGCTTTGAGCTCTTTGTGTGTCTAGTTCTGAGTCCACACTTACGTTTACTTAATCAAACACAGCCAGCATTGATCAGTTACCAGACTAGCAGAAATGAACACACAGTTAAAGCCATGGAATACTATGCTGAACAATTTAGGAACTCATGGGATCTATGGAATTCTAAATTGTCATTAACCCAATATTTCTTGTCGACTTCAATTTACAGTAATGTGGACTAAAGTGCAAAACCAACAGCGTGCCTAATATTGTCACCTTCCTAACTGATAAGATAGGTTAACATCACAACCAAGCAGTAGGATGTCAAAATACTGCTCCCGACCTTAGCCCTGCTTCACTGAGCTTTCATGCTCAGTATCGCTCTAGGTTAGATTCTGATCATGTCATCCGACCTCGTTATTTAAGCTAAAACATTCTTCCAAATACCAATACAAAGAGCAGAAATAGAAAATATTAACATTAATAAAAGTAGTTTTCCATGAGCTACGAAATGAGGTTACGGTGGTGATGCACACATTGCTCAAATAATGGAGCGATCTTTTGTGAAATCTAAACCCAAGAAAAGCCTGTTTAATGTCAAAAAGAATTGGTTGTACAGTAAAGTTGTCAACTACTCAACACACTTCATGGTTGTATCTAAATTGCATGCTACAGATATACTGGAGTGTTGGAAGTTGTTCACAACAGTCTAGAGATTCCACTTGAGAGTAAAATGCTGGCACAGTATTTTATGATTTCTGGCACAAGACACACTATCGCTTACTGCTGACCTAGTAGTGAATAACTGCAAAGGATCTAAGTGAGAGCAAGTCTGGTCGTGTCAGAAAAAAAATTAAAAACACAACAAAAATATTAATTCCTGAAAAATATTTTCAATAAACCTTGACTGGGGAAGTGGAAGAATCATTTAAGAAAGGTGGAATTTTGAAGAATCTGCCATCTCATCAACCAGCTGATTGATCTGCTTAAATTTGATATGTTATTTTAGGTTGCTGATCCTCTCTTTCTCTATCCACCAAGGTTCCTGACTTGCTGAGAATTTCCAGCAGTTGCTGTTTTTATATCAAGAAGTATTTAGTTGCATGTGGATGTTGAAAAGTGTCAAGATCACTAAAGGAGCGCAGGATTGCAAATATTTTTTATTTACTTGGAATTTTGATTACATTTTGTTTTACCCCATTTCCATTTTCAACCCAGGGATGCCTGTTTCTTGTCTGAAAATAGGCGGCAGTCAATTGACAAATCAAGAATTGGTGGCAGGGTGAGTAGGGATTAATAAAAATAGCTCAGATGTCTCATTCCTGCCTCAAGACTGGCACAATGTCACATTTAGATGGTTCTGTACGTTACCAATGAGCCCACCTTCTTGAAGAGGGTGTCAAGTCACTGAAGTTTTTGAATTATCCATTTGTTACAGGCAATGCTCAGCCCAAGCAGTGGTCCTCACAAGGACCCTCTGAAAGATCCTCAGTCCAGAAAAGGCTCAAGAGTCTCATGATTCTTAAGCATTTCTGAATTGATTTTCTCCATTGCATCCAATGAAGAAATTTCCTACCCATTGCCAATCCTTTCAAAGTGAATATGTTGCTCATCTGAGATTGATCAACTGTATGGGTTAGTTAATTGAAACAGTAAAGCACATTATAAGTTATGAAACAAACATTACAGCAAGCCACACCCACAACAGACCACCTGATAGGCAGAGTTGCAACACAGATAGAGCCCTTAAAGGAATGGTGGTTTGGTTCCAACTAAGGGTGACATGTGGCTTGATCAGGAAATTGCAGGTAGTGATGTTTTCATGCATCTGCTACCCTTGTCCTATGCAGTAGAGGTTGTGAGCTTGAAAGGTACTATCTAATGGGCTTTGAAGAGTTGCTGCAGTACATCTTGTAGATGGTACACACTGCTGCCACTGTGCATTGGTGGTGAAGGCATTGAATGTTTAAGGAGCTGGACGGTACGCCAGTCAAGAGGGGTACTTTGTCTTTTACAGTGTCAAGCTTCTTGGAACCACACTCATTCAGGCAAGTACAGAATATTTCATCATACTCCTGACTTATGTATTACAGACGATGGAGCGTTGAAGTGGGTAGTATTCATGCAAAATTCACACCCTCCCCCGCATAGATACATTTTCCAGCAGAAAGCACTGGACAGTGATTATAGGAGTATGAACCCTGATTAATCTTTCTCCATTTCCCTGCTGAACAATAACTACCTTGCTGGCCTCCTGCCTTCGATAGTTAACTTCTGCTTGAATCCATATTCCAGTGGGTAGTTTAGGAATTGACCAAATCTTTTCTACTACACGGTCTTCTTCATCATAGATGTAGACTGCGAGGGCATCCTCTGTGACAAAGTGATTCAGGGCATAAAAGAAGCGCAAGCAATACTGGAGGTTGGCATGCAAAAGTGGGCCAGCCAGGTGAGCTACATACTCCTGATGGTAACCGAACCTTGCATTGGACATCAGAAAGCCACCTGCGAAAATAAGGGAGTATCTGTTACTGAAATAAGACAGGAAATGCAAATAAATATCTATCCCAAAAACAAGTGGAACTCAGGGCCTGGAGATTGCCAGAAACGTGAATCCATCACACACTGTGTAGAATCACACAGAATTCACAGCGTTTGGCCCAACTTGTCATGAGCTTCCTCTCAACTCCCTCCATCCTATCAACATTCACAGAATTTTACAGGTGTCCACCAGCAAGTTAGATAGGGTATGAAAATCACCCAGGGACCTTGTGCTCAATTTTACTATAGGGTGACTCACCTAACCCAATGAAAGTTCTTAGGCAAGTCAGTAGTCACTTACAGGCCATTTTCGCCTGGCTGCAAGTTTTCAGCTAGCAGGAGGGGTTTGAGGGATGAGTAGGATGATAGCCTAATGTGAGGGAAGTGGGTATGGGGGAGTGCGGCATCAGAGCCTTCATTACTGCCACCTCCCCCTTCCTCCCCCATCTAGTTGTCGCAATCACCAAACCCCTCTCTTGCTACAACTTAGTTTTCTCCTCCTATCTCCACTGCAGAACACTCACATGTACCTCCACTCTGCACTTGTGGACCTTGACTGCTTGCTGCTCCCACCAGTACTGCTGTGTCTACAGACAGCTGTTGCACACTCAGATTAAGTGCCAGCTCAATAAGGTGTGATTTTCTCCCAAATGATGGACAGAGATATAGCCTCCAGACAGTTAACACTTCAGTTCAATGGATGCTGGGTTGCTCACATTGCCGAGATGTACTCTCCACCTACTCTTTGGATGAGTTGTGAGAGACACACCTGAAAACCCACTACCTGAAACATTTTGACCCCACGTCCTTCTATTCTTTTCTCCCTCCTGCGTTTATGTAGCTTCCTCTGAAATGCACCTCTTCTATTCAACTCCACAACTTCCGGTAACAGAGAATTCCACATTCTCACCACTCCCTGAGTAAAGAAATTGAATTCCTACTGGATTTATTCATGAGTTAAAATAATTGTTCAAACTTGTTCAAAGGAGAATGACATTGATTTGGAGATATGAACTTCGTAACATCATACTAAGCAAGTCATTTGATAAAATTGCTCCCATCAACAAAGGCACATCTGGAAATTACAGTAAGTGTGTTGTAAAAGTAGAAACATTAACTTGACCAATGTAGGTATTGAGCAACAATTATACATTCAGTTAGTTAAGTCAGATAACGGTGTTGGGAACAGCAGAGTGTACTGTAAAACCACTTTTGTATTTGTGAATGGGACACTAAGTTGTTACCTGTTCCACAGTGTGTATTGGGTGACCACACTCACACACTGGGCAGTTTTTAATTTTCCATTTGTGTATCAATTACCTGTATCTGCTCTGGTTTGAGCGGTTGCTGTTTGAGGGACTCTCTGAGTCTTGCTGACCAACAAAGCCACAAATCTTCAGTGTCAGGTCTTTCACCAAGAATTTGTGACATTTTATAAACTCCATTCAGCTTTGCAAATACGATCAGGATTGAATTTGCAGTGTCCAAGTTTAACCAAGTGAGTTTACTTGCATAGGTGATATTAGTGAATGAATGAATGAATCGATCAATCAATCAATCAATGAGAGCAATTTTAATTTAACTGACCAGGCAGAAATCACATTGAATTGGGTACATAAGAAATATGGGCAGGAGGGCGATTTGGCCCGTTGAATCTGTTCCACCATTCAATAAGATTGTGGCTGATCAGATTTTTGGTCTTAAATCCACTTTCTTACCTATCCCCCAGTAAAATTTCAACTCCTTTGTAGATCAAAAATCTGCCTATTTCAGTCTTGAGTATATTCAATGTTTCAGCCTCCATTGCTCTCAAGGAAGAGAACTGCAAAGACTGATGACTTTCAGAGAACAAATACCACCCCCTCTCTGTTTTAATTTTAAAACGTGTCCCCAGTTCTAGACTCCCCATAAGACGAAATATCCTCTTAGCAATGACTCTATCATGCGCTCTCAGAATATTATAAGTTTCATTCAAATCATCTCTCATTCTTCTGCACTCTATCTGAAAATTGGCCAAATCTGTTCAACGTTTCATCATAAGACGGACTTTTCATCCCAGAAATCAATCAAGTGACTGGTCTGAACTATCTCCACTGTAAGTATGTCCCTCTTTAGATACAGAGACCAGTCTGACACACCTTTCAGTGCTGACTTCAACAGTGTCAAGGCAGACAAAGCATGGAAGCAGTGTTGCACACAATTCTGCCAGTTTCCCCAAAGAACAGGTTAAATTTAAAAGTCCTCTGGTTGCTTTATCTTATCCTCCAGTCAATTTATCATCTTTCCAAATGTTTTGTGTACAGATGGCGAATGATCTTTTTTACAAAAATTCATTTTTAATGTTTATCCAGCTTTGCCTTAAATGTCTCCACATTCTCACTACTGTGTGTAAATAGACTATTTGATGGGCAATTATCAATATAAAGACAGTTTTGGTATATTCTAAGAGCTGGCCTCGGAATCACAATTGATTTTTTCACAAGCACACTGACCCTTGTCATGTATGTGCACAAGAATCCCACTTGCCTGGCTCAGTTTCCACTTTATTAATCCCCAAATCCTCACTTGATCCCAGCTGTCTCGGCAAGCTACATTCAGTAGAGATTGATAGCCTGGGTTTTAAAACTGACAGCCTCATGGTCGATAACTCACACAGGCCTGTTACCAGATGAATTTCAGATCTCACAGGCACATCAGTCTCTCTGCTTTAAACAATGTAATAACAAATCTTTGGCAAACCACCAAGTGCAACATGGAGGTGAATAGCATAAATGCCTTTAAACAACACCTTAAACCAGCTGTCCATGAGTGTGGTGGAACCAAAGACAGTCAAACAGGTGCTTAAGAGAAATAGATTTGCACAGCTTTTGGGATAAGGCAAGGGCTGGATGATTCTAAAGAGAGTCGGCATGGACTCAATAGGCTGAGTATCTTCCTCATACCATAATGACTCGATGGAGTGGATTGTACACTGCGGTGTGGGGAGACCATTCTCAGTCTGAGTGTGGGGGGACAGCCCACATTTACTCGTCCAGCTCTTCCCAGTTTACTTTTTCGGCCGAGGGGACTTTTATCTGCCCCATTCCAGGAGTAAGTCCCATCTCATAGGGTAGCTAGAGAATCTGGGGCTGGCAACTCTGAAGCACTGGCAGCGCCACAGGGATCGGTGGCTACAGCTGGTATTGCAGGAGGCCTGGCAGAAGGAGCAACCATGGCTGTCCTGGAGGTCTGGGATCTAACTGGGGCCAGGCTGGCTCAGAGGCTCTGGCAAGGCGGTGGAAGATATTTTCTGCAGGATAGTTGTGGAGGAAGGGCTCAATGATGTATGTAGGGAAAGAAAACCATGAGCTGTGGGGGTAGCCTCCAATTAATATCAGTAAAGGAGGCACTGCCCCCGCTATTTACTAGCCAGAGCCTGCAGGATCAAAATGGCCAAGGTCTATGACTTTCACTGCCTGCTAAATTGCAACAGGGGCAGGATGTAGTCCTTTATTAGACAATTAACACTCACTTGAGGGCTCAAAATGTCCCAAGTGGTTGGCCCAGACTGCTGTCCAGCCCCTCGAGTCCTATACTTTGCAGACGATCTGCTGTCAGGGATAAAAAACAGGTGGTGGTTCTGGAGAAGGCAGCCTACATGCCCAGAGCTCACAGCCCAATTGGCGAGTTGCTGGTAGCCCACCATAACCAGCCAATCGAAATAATGCCAACAGCTGAGGTTGTAGCTTCCAGGCAAGGGCCCATCAATGGTGAGGTGCCCTTGAACAACAGGTAGGTTTTTAGGCAGGAAACTGGATGCCAGTCAGGCTCCCGGTGATTGGTAGAAGCTGTACATGGAGTACGGACACGCCTTCAATGCAGGCACAGGCTCTGTCCCCCCACAAGGACCACTCTATGAGTCATGGTGTACCAACACCCTCCCCCCACAACGCTGGGAAGTTGCGAGGATTCACCTAGTGGTCTCGCCACAGGATGGTGAGCCTGGCTGATCTTGGGAAAATGCCAACAGGGGCAGGCAAGACATCAAACTCCTCTCCTGATGTCTTCCCTACCGTATTGCCAGGCGACTGGGAGGAGGAAGGGCCAAATACTAATAGGCTAGGAAAATTCAGGTTTGTCACTTTAGGGGAAGCTAGGGGAACATGTGAAGGTGAAAGCAATAGAATGGTATGTTGTTAGGGTGAGATGGTAGGGGTTAGCAAGTTTCATAGACTAACTATTGGAGCAGATGGGCTGATTCTGTCCTTCCCATGATTTGTAACTCCCTCCTTAGCAATTTTAAAGAATCTCTTTATTTAATTTGCATGTTATCCCATTTTGTTTGAAAGTCTCTTGCTAATCCTCAATGGGAACGTCTGGCTGGTCCCTGGCCATAGACATCATTCCAATCAGTCACTAAATAGCCTGCTGACTATTTCCTCTCAACAATAACTGGAATTTGTGTAGTGGCTTTAATGCCATCATAAGGCCCTTCACAGGAGTGTTATCAAAAAAATTTGACACTAAAAATTACATGGAGCTTTGGGAGAACGACCAAAAGCTTGATCAGATAGTTTTAAGGAACATCTTCAAGAAGGAAAGCAGGAGACAGACAGAGAGGGTGAGGATGGGAAATCCAGGCCTTACAGCCAAAAGCATGGCTACCAAGGCTGGAGTCAGGAAATCTAGAAATGCACAAGAGATCAGAATCAGAGTAATGTGGAGATAGTGGAGAGTTGTAGAGTTTCAGATCATTTCCGAGCTAGGCAGAGTCAAGACAATGTATTTGACAACAAGGATGTGAACTTTAAATCCAAGGCATTGCTGCAGCCTATATAAAGTTGGCAAGCATAAGGATAATTAGTGTTTAGGGTGAGCTTAAGCTTGCTGAGGGTTGAAAGGGGAAGGCCAGCTATGGTTATTGGAATAGTTGTGGATACACGTCGAATTCACAGAGGTTTTAGTAAAGATTAAAAATCTGCCAA